TGAGAGTTGTATTTGGATTTTATTTCTTTGTTATACCTTCACAACGAAAATTTGTACATAACTATTGGGATAGGTTTTACGTATGTATTTGCGTAACTGGATCACTTGAGAGTTGTATTTAGATTCTATTACTTTGGGCCTTACAAATTATATTACAAATTTATTGGGATATTTATTATAAATTTGTAACAAAAATATGAACATAAGTATTGTGATAGGTTTTACATATATATTTGCATAACTATCACTTGAGAGTTGTATTTAGATTCTATTACTTTGGGCTTACAAATTGTCTTACAAATTTATTGGAATTTTTCTTATAAATTCTAACGAAAATATGTACATAAGGTCTTACATATGTATTTGCATAAGTGTATCACTTAAGAGTTGTATTTGGATTCTATTACTTTTGGGCCTTACAAATTGTCTTGCAAATTTATTTAGATTTTTCTTATAAATTCTAAAGGAAAATAGGTACATAAGTATTGGTATAGGTGGTACATATGTATTTGCATAAGTGTATCACTTGAGAGTTTTATTTGGATTCTATTACTTTGGGCCTTACAAATTGTCTTACAAACTTATTTGGATTTTTCTTATAAATTTTGAAGGAAAATAGGTACATAAGTATTAGTATAGGTGGTACATATGTATTTGCATAAGTGTATCACTTGAGAGTTGTATTTGGATTCTATTACTTTGAGCCTTGTAAACTGTCTTACAAATTTATTGGGATGTTTCTTATACCTTCAAAATGAAAAGTTTTACATAAGTATTTGGATAAGTTTTACATATGTATTTATATAATTTAATCACTTGAGAGTTGTATTTGAATTCTTTTATTTTGGGCCTTACAAATTGTCTTACAAATTTATTGGGATTTTTTTATACCTTCAGAACGAAAATTTGCACATAAGTATTGGGATAGGTTTTACATATGTATTTGCATAAGTTTATCACTTGAGAGTTGTATTTTGATTCTATTACTTTGGGCCTTGCACATTGTCTTACAAATTTATTGGGATGTTTCTTATACATTCAAAACGAAATTTTTTACATAAGTATTGGGATAGGTGTTACATATGTATTTGCATAAGTGTATCACTTGAGAGTAGTATTTGGATTCTATTATTTTGGGCCTTACAAATTGTCTTACAAATTTATTGGGATGTTTCTTATACCTTCAGAATGAAAATTTGTACATAAGTATTATGATATGTTTCACATATGTATTTGCATTAGTTTATCACTTGAGAGTTGTATTTGTATTCTATTACTTTGGGCCTTACAAATTGTCTTACAAATTTATTTGGATGTTTCTTATACCTTCAGAATGAAAATTTTTATATAAGTATTAGGATAGGTGTTACATATGTATTTGCATAAGTGTATCACTCGAGAGTTGTATTTGAATTCTATTACTTTAGGCCTTACAAATTGTTTTACAAATTTATTGGGATATTTCTTATACCTGTAGAACGAAAATTTGTACATAAGTATTGGGATTGGTTCTACATATGTATTTGCATAAGTTTATCACTTGAGAGTTGTATTTGGATTCTATTACTTTGGGCCTTGTAAATTTTCTTACAAATTTATTAGGATGTTTCTTATACCTTCAGAACGAAAATTTGTACATAAGTATTGTGATAGGTGTTACATATGTATTTGCATAAGTGTATCACTTGAGAGTTGTATTTGGATTCTATTATTTTGGGCCTTACAAATTGTCTTACAAATTTATTGGGATGTTTCTTATACCTTCAGAACGAAATTTTTTACATAAGTATTGGGATCGGTTCTACATATGTATTTGCATAATTTTATTACTTGAGAGTTGTATTTGGATTCTATTACTTTTAGCCTTACAAATTGTCTTACAAATTTATTGGGATATTTTTTATACCTTCAGAACGAAAATTTTTACATAATTATTGGGATAGGTCTTGCATATGTATTTGCATAAGTGTATCACTTGAGAGTTGTATTTGGATTCTATTACTTTGGGCCTTGTAAATTGTCTTACAAATTTATTGGGATGTTTCTTATACATTCAGAACGAAAATATGTACATAAGTATTGGGATCGGTTCTACATATATATTTGCATAAGTTTATCACTTGATAGTTGTATTTAAATTTTATTACTTTGGGCCTTGCAAATTGTCTTACAAATTTATTGAGATGTTACTTATACCTTCATAATGAAAATTTTTGCGTAAGTATTGGGATAGGTGTTACATATGTATTTGCATAAGTGTATCATTTGAGAGTTATGTTTGCATTTTATTACTTTGGGCCTTGTAAATTGTATTACAAATTTATTGGGACGTTTCTTATACCTTCAGAACCAAAATTTCTACATTAGTATTGGGATAGATCTTACATATGTATTTGCATAAGTGTATCACTTGAGAGTTGTATTTGGATTCTATTACTTTGAGCTTTGTAAATTGTCTTACAAATTTATTGGGATGTTTCTTATACCTTCAGAATCAAAATATATACATAACTATTGGGATAGTTTCTACATATGTATTTACATAAGAGTATAAGTTGAGGGGTTTCTTTGGATTGTATTACTCTTTGGCTCTGCAAAAAATGGAAAAATGCATGACAACACGTCAATTAAAAGATAACTATTGTGGATGCAAGTACTCTATTACTTACGAATTATTTAGGATTTTTCTCATAACTTATGTACGAAATTACGGACATAAACCAATTATATTTCAATGCATTTGTCTCAATTCAAATACTTGACTCACACTCATATCTCAACTAATTACATTTCATAATGCATGATCAAAATCACTTATCATGCATTTTCATAATATACAAAATTATACAAATTTGTCCAACCCACCGAAATTGTTATAAAAGCAAACAACAATTAAGCAGAGTTAAATCAACAACATCATAAAAACAATGTTAAATACATAATGGAATGATTGTCAATAATGAAAGAGTCGTTAAATTCGTCGGTCCAATCTCCGCGATTGACATTTGGGACGTTGGCCTGACACTCGTTTTGCAATTGTTTAAATCTGCTATCTTTGAATATGATCATGGCACAAAATACAATCAAATTAGATAATATCACAAGACACACAAGAAAATTTCATAAAAAATATACTGGTACAAATTGTGTTGACAAGGACAACTACGTATCTTATCACTTCTAAAATCATCAGCGAACCAATCATAATGTGAATAACTGGTATTGGAAATGCATGAATCGGTAACAACGGTTTGCAGCATTATATAGTTTTCCTTATATATTATAAACTAGTAATTAAATAATTATGCAACTTTGTATATTGTAATTTATATATTGGTTCCACCTTAACAACACACTTGCCTGGTTAGTTAATGGAGTACTTATTTCACCAGGCAGTTGCCAAAACCTTGTGTGATGTATTACACGTTGTGGTGGTGTGACATAACTTTCTTTACTGAGAAATTCAGCTAGATTTTTACAGCCCTACAAAATAAATGTTGTAAAATATTTGACCAGAGATTTCCTTGTAACCATAATGAACATGTTAAGCAATGTGCTGAAAATTGTTATGCAACAATACTCACATTCACTAACACGTGGTAGGGGATTGTTCGACTATGACTACTGCCACCTACCTTTCCAGATTAAAGGGCTTCATTGCAATTCTACAACACAATTATAAGAATTATTACGTATGCACAATTTAATACACATAACTAGTATTGCTGATGAAAGTACTTGGAAAATAGAAAGGGGATAAAAGTACCTCAACCTGAACTGTTCGTTTCATTGATTTCGTCTTATTGCGACTCTTTAGCTCCATGGTCGGTTTTAACCTCTTAAATTTTCCTTTCTGTGTATCTTTACACTTGAGCCCATTGGGGATTTTGTCACTATTTATGTTGCTCCCCAAATATTGCTTTTTGCCTTTATGACCACTATAAATTTCATTCCTCTCAGCAAATCTACGCCTACAACTTGATTGGGCAATTTTTTTCTACTCCATGGCTTTGAGTAACAAATCATTGTATCCGTACTTATCCTCCGATGCAATGGAATAAATTTCTGTCAGAATATGACAAAGTACCCTGTGCCGTCTCCTAACCTCAATTTTCAGATCCGCATTGGCAATCACTTCACTAAAAAGATTTTCTTCCAAGCTGCCATCTCTAGCAGTTCTAGTCCACCTTCTTAATATATATTAACGAGGCAATGTATTAGCGAACATGCATGAGTCCTTTAAGATTTTCAAACTATGCCTATAGATAATACCCTCCCTTTCAAATTTACAATAAGAACATAAAAATTCATCTTCTGATGTCTTCGTCACATCGCGTTGCATCCCATCCTCACCAACGACTTTGTAAACACAACCTCTGTTGCCATCGATGGGACTGCAACTAATGATCCTTTGACTGGCACTAGCTATTAAGAACTCGTCTTGGAAAATATCAAATATAACCTTTGTGTACAGGTTTGCCGCCTCTATTAATATGTTATAGTTTGTTTGCAGTTGAGGTATATTATGGAGCAACCCATACTCGGCTACATACTCCTTGTAACGCTTGTCGAACAACAGCCTTTCAAAGTGTGTGAAGAAATCTAAAAGAATTAGTTGCCTGAATAAGTATGCCTTCAAGCAACCATTGAAGCTTTCACTCAGTTGTATGCTGCGGATACCCGCAGACCAAACATGTTTGATAAATGCCATGCCCATCTATGTTTCAAACCTAACAGATTTGTAGGCCATGTCTTACCAACAAGACCATATTCCGTTATCATTAAATTCCATTCCCGGGTAAATTCTCCCGTCTCCTCAATTTGAAACATTAATTTTGATAACACCTTCTTTAAGCCTTGCGCACGTCTAAACAAGAACGCTAGATGCTTCTGTGCATTTTGCATTAGGTGCCAAACACACAGATAATGTTTTGTCCCTGGCATCACTTGTAAAATTATTTTCTGTAATATAACTACGTAATAACATGTACCACTGCCAACTACACAATGTAAAAGGAAATGCAAAGAGTGGAGATCTGAATTGAAAACACTTGCGTCAATGCCTTTCCCATTGCAGCATCTTGATCAGTGAAGATCGTTTTGGTCACTTTACTGGACATTGTTTTAAAAAACGTTTGAAACAACCAAACAAACGAATCTGCAGTCTCGTCATACATGAACGCTGCTCCAAATACAGTGGTCTCCCGGTGATGATTCAACCCCAAGAAACTTCCAAATGGACGGTTGCCATGTTCAACTTTGTAGGTTGTGTCAAAACTAACATCTCCAAAATTGCAATAATCAACTATCATTTTTGAATTAGCCCATAATATGTTTGTGATTATTTGATCACTGTCCAATTGGAATGCATAAAAGAAATATAGATCTTCACAAGACTGAGTCTCAAAATAATTCATTAGCCATGTTGCCTCTTCATATTCAAGCTTATTTTGTGTTCGGGTCCTTATATGATTTTCTAAATCCAACTTCATGTACCTGACTAATTCTTTTCCACCAGTTTACCTTCCCATCAACTCATATAAATTGCGAGGGGTTATTCCTGAATCAGAAGCCAATTCCAAATCAATGGCCTGAACGTGGGTAATTTTACACTGGGACGACAGCATGTGAATGCATTCATCAATCATCAATGGTTGTGGCTTTCAACAAATTTTGTAACTTCCAACTTCTGGGTATACTTGGAATATTGTATAAGCATTCGAGCAAGGTAACCAGTTCATACTGTCCCGAATGTTGTCAACCCTGAAACCTTCCTTGTAGCATATTAACAATCTCGATGATAGTTTACCAGTCTTCTTGCTCTTATTAAAATACTCTTTGCGGATGCTAAAACCGACTCGATGGGCATATGAACTATAGAAATCATATGCCTCTACCTTAGTTTCAAACTTCATACCTATTTTTGGTTTTCATTATATGACATCGGCCCTACAATAGGAGCGCTTCTTGTATATGTTGTGTCTTCGATGCTATTTAATACCTCTTCCATTCCAATAATTCAAATAAGAAACCTACAACATAAAAAAGAAAAAAGAAAAAAGAAAAAAAGAAAGAACAAAAGGCTGTCTTGCAGGCACGGACAATTTTATTTATTGGAACAATTTTCTGACCTATTAACATTATTCAGGATAGTATAATGTATCAGGAATCCAATTTCCTCAACAGCACATATTTTAATTGTGCTACAAATAACAAAATTAATGATTTATTTAACTTTTTACATCTCAAACATGCACTTCCAACCTTTTTGGGCCTTCTATTTTCATAAAAATTACAACTATGTTAACTTATCCATTTCACTTTTTCCAAATCAAAAATGGACTTGCAAACTTTTTTGGGCTTATTTTGAGAAATATTACAACCATGTTAAGTTATTTATAATGAACAATCATAACTCTCAATGGAAACTTACAAGAATACAATGGAAAATTTATTCTAACATCTTAAATTGGAAGTGTAAAACCTCCATTCAACCTCCATTTCTTATAATAAATAATATCACAACTATTTTGTAGTATTTATCACGAATAAAACACTGTAATATTACAGGAATACAATGAAAAATTTATTCTAACATCTTAAATTGAAAGTTTAAAACATAACATAACTTAAAATAATATCACAACTTTTACACAATTTAATAATAAAATTTTCAGAATTTCTCATTCAATTTTTTACAATTTAATAACAGTTCAAGAATAACCAAACAAAACTAATGAAACACAATGTCATACTATTCACAAATTCATTTACAAAACCAGTACAATGTAGCTTTGTCTTCTTCGGCGTTCAATCAAACACAGGACACTGTAGCTTCGTCTTCTCCGGCGTTCAATCAAACCTTTGGAAAGAAATTGTAAATTTGGAAACAAGAAAATTAAGGAAAGCTGAGACTTTTTTGGGAAGAGGAATTTATTTCTTTCTATATTTTGGGAGAGAGGAAGAAAGAAGATTAAGAAGAGGCGCTATAGCTTCGTCACTGTAGCTTCGTCTTCTCCGACGTTCAATCAAACATTTGGAAAGAATTGTAAATTTGAAAAGAAGAAAATTAAGGAAATCAGAGCTGAGACTTTTTTTGGAAGAGAAAGTTATTTATTTTTATATTTTGGGAGACAGGAAGAAAGAAGATTAGGAAGAGACGCTAAATCTGTTTTGGAATTTTCAATTTGGCACTTAAATCTGAGTTTAAATAGGTATAATTTTGTATATGTGTATATATATTTGGTATATGTGTGTGTATATATATACCTTTTTTTACCCGAAATCCTGTTTGGCCATTTTTCCTGTCGCAACAGTGCATGAACAGTAAAAATCGGAAGAAACAGGTCTCCTGTTCCACTGGAGACGATTTCGGTGGCCATCAACCTGTATTAATTTTTATTTGGAGGTGATCATTCCCTATTTTCATGATCACCACCCAACAAACACATGGAACCGCCCCACCTGCCTTGAAAAAATGCCTGCATTGCTCTTCTAGCAATATCGATTGTCGCATTCTACAATATTTCAAATTAAAACCTTTTTGACAGAGCTTCTCTAAGTTCGGAAAACGAACAATAAAATTTGTGGAATTAATTAACCCCAAGTTGGAAATTAAATTAACACTCTTCTCAGCCAAATCCAAAACAACAACTCAGTAGTACAATAATTCTATTTTTTTTTTCTTTTTTTATAATTAAAAAGATAATAGTATTTGTTAGCCATAGGCAAAACTCAGTTTCACCTTCATGAAATGATGCCAGAGTCTCTCTCGTTATGTTGTAAACAACTTCAATTCCGTAAAAACGACATGATGTAATATATTATACGTGCTATAATATATACACATATATACATACATTATACATATATGTAGTATATCATATATAAATTAACTAAATGTGTAGGTACATAGTAACCATGCATGGTCCCCAAATGAACAACTTGCAAATGTTTTAACTCCTATTACATCAAAGTCACTTTAGTGGATTTATTATCCATATATATAAGAAGTAAAAGCAAGGCCTAACTTTCATGTATTAATGTCAATTACATTAGTTTATGATAATAACCCTCCAATGGTTAGAACAATACAACCTTTTTTTGGTAAGTACCACGTACATAAAGAACTGGACATACGTAGAGGTATACTAATAAATATTGGGACCACATACAAAAGTGAAAAAAATAAACAAATACAGCATTGATAACAAATTTTCTTGACATGAGTAGACATAAGAGATATGAACGTGATCATCTGCTGTACAATTTGGTGCACTGTATGGCAGGAGATCTACCTCTAAGAGGCACACTCGAAGCATCAAGCCTTCATGCCTCCACCTAGGGATGACCACGGATTGAATCGAATTAGACATTAAACTTAATTTGATTCGTTTCCTATATTTTAGGTGAAAATTAAATTCAATCCAATCCGTTATTTTACGGATCCAATCAGATTGGTTTCACTGATTGGTCTTTTTTCAAATAGCTCAATATTATTATTTTTAATCATTATCTAATAGATGAATTTTTAACGTTAGTAAGACTTAATAGGTCTTTTGAAAATAAGATTTAGTAGGTATACTTTATGGTTAAAAGTCAGTAAAACTTAAAATAATAACAGAATTAATAAAATAGAAATAGTGTAAATATGTATTTTTTATATATAATTTTAATCCGTTAATGGATCCATGGATTACGAATCCCTTATATATCAATCTGTAATTATACTACGAGACTAAAAAATCAATTCAATCTGCAAGAATCAAATCGATTTCACATATTGACGAATCAAATGAACACTCCTACCTCCACTTCCAAACATAGCATGATCTTCTAAATACAACTTTTGCTGACATTTTATTAATCACTGAGAAAAATAAAATAAAATCATATATATATATATATATATAAAGCGCATTCATATCAAATTGAAATGGGAAAGATAATAGAATATTGCATATGTTTTTAGCCTGTACACATATAAATATATAATGTTACTTACTGTATATGAATCCATACACCTTTACTGGGAATTTCTTGGAGAACCACGAATAGAAGATAATATCCAGATGGTGCAAGATTACGCGAATTCGGTGTCCTCACTCTCACTTCATAAGTAAATTTCCTTACTTTTCTCAGCTTGTTCCCACCAAGCACTAACAATCTTTGATTCATTGAAAATGAGTGTGTGTTAAATGGTGGTACCAACATTGTAACAGAGATCAAATTCTCATTTAGCACACCCATTACCTTGAATCGAACTGTTACCTTCTGCCCATACCTAAGCTTAGCTTGAGAAATAGGTGAAACAATTCTAGGGCGCAAACCTCTTGACCCTGAATCCAAATATGACGGTGAAAATGCTTCCAAACTTAATTCCGTCGGAAAAAGTATTCCGGTAAAATTATAGAACACATTAGGATTGCTACCACCAACAAGAACCCTACCGTCACGCAACATAATTGCCGTGGAGTGGTACAAACGAGGTATGGTGGTGGGATTTTGTACCTCGAACCGAGACTCAATTGGGCTATCAGGTCGGTAAATTATGGGTTTGAGAACCGGGTGCCGAGCCTTTTCCCATCCGGCAGTCCCGGCAGCCGCACCGTTAATGATCAGTACGTTGCCGTTTGGTAGTAAAAGCATGTCACCCATAACCCGAGCCAGAGGCATTCTCTCCACAACCCACTGCGGATCCGGGTCGGTTATTTTGATTCGCCCACACGTTTTCAAAGCACCGACAAACTTACCACTTTGCACGCTGGTGTACGATCCTTTCGGTGCACCACCACAAACCAAAACTTCAGCTTCAATATTTTCAGGTCGCTGCAAGTCCTTCAATGGAAGGAGAACGGAAGACCTAGTGCTCGGATAATTCCGAGGATTGCCTCCGGGAATCTCCGGGTACGTCCTAACGACGACACGGTTCACGTACTCGAATAGTATAGCTCGATTATTAGCAAAAATAAACAAATTTCCATCAACATTGAGAAAAACGAATGGGTATAGATTGTTCTCTATCTCTGGCTCATTGGTCTGAGCTAAAAAGGGTAAATTATAAGATTTTTTGGACGAAGCAGTTTTTGGGTAAAATTCGTAGTTGAACTGGTTCCGGCCACCGACAATGATTTGCCGGCCGTCCGGCAATATGTGATTGGTGACATACCATCTTCTATGAGTTAACCCGGAGCTGACTTCCTCCCAATCACAGTCCATGCATGGCCGATAAATTCGGACCACATGTTCTCCATCATTGAACCCGCCGGTTTGGATCAGACGGCCGTCAGGCATGACAGCACCTGAGGAGCACCAGACGTCGGTGAGGACCGTGAGAGGACGTATAGTGTTGGATGTGACGTCGTATTGGACTGAGTGAGCCGTGCAGTCATTGGTGGAAGCAAGGTGGCATTTGCGGTTTGGGAGTGAGATGTTGGAGCGGCCGAAATCGGTTCGGTCGAAGATGACAACTCGGTCGTTGTGGAGGAGCTGCATGTGCATGGCTGATATGCCAATGTTGGGATTCAGAAGTTTCCACCGGCCGCCAGATGCGTGGGTCAGATTCAGGCAACATTGTCCGGCGGCTATAACTAGTAGCTGCCGGAGGAGGAAGGAAAAAAGCAAGCTTTTGGTCATGAATTTTAGTTTTTGGGGGTAAGTGGGTGTTTGTTAAGTGAGATTTGGGATTTAAATCCTTTATAATATTAGGACTTTGATATACAGAAGCCCATAGGTAGAACTCATAAAAAATGTAGGGGTAGAAGGCTTTGCTTTGATTATGAACATGAATTTTGTGGGCTTAGATATCATTTTCAATAAGGTTACGAGAAGGATTTCTATTTCACGCGGAAGATAAAAAATAAAATAAAAAAGGGAAAATTACATATAAATGGAGTTAAAGTTTCATATTTACTTAGAGACTGAGTCAAAGTTCCATATTTCTCTAAAATGGATTGCTGAGGTGGCACATGGTTTTTTACTGTTTAGAAAATTGTGGTGCCTAAAATGCCCTTCCCTAACAAAAAAGTAGTACCTTCAGTTCAAAAAAGTAGTACCTTCAGTTCAAAAAAGTAGTACCTTCGAAGAAAAAGTAGTACCTTCGCGGGTGTTTAAAAAACATGGTACCTGGATACCAAAAAGTAGTACCTTCAGTTTAAAAAAGTAGTACCTTCGAAGAAAAAGTAGTACCTTCGCGGAAGGGTATTTTAGGCACCACAATTTCTAAACAGTAAAAAACCATGTGCCACCTCAGCAATCCATTTTAGAGAAATATGGAACTTTGACTCAGCCTCTAAGTAAATATGAAACTTTGACTCCATTTATATGTAATTTTCCCAATAAAAAAAGGTAACTAGTTTATGTATATATATACTTACCAGTTTTTCTTTTTTCTTTCCGGTATTTTGTGTGTGATATATTTATAGTTATATATATATTTATCAAAAATTATATGTATATATACCGTATATAAATGTTTGATGCCATGCATAGTTGTTATTGGCTTATGTGGGTTTTTGTATTTGCAGGGGCGTGCATCTCATGATTAAATAGAATATAGTGCATCTTTCATGTATTAATGCCAATAAATACTGTATGATAATAACCAACCAATTGTTAGAATAATAAAGAGATACAACATGATGCACGCTGCACTGTGTGGCACACACATCTAATAGAGATATGTACACATACAAACGCTATACCAATCTGTAGGTGTTAGAACTCACTTAATTAAAAAGTTAAAAAGAATAAATATAACTTACTCAAAATCAAAGAACAATAATCAGAATGAAAATTCAGAGAAAAGCTTATATTGCTCGATCATCTTTATTGAAGGTTTAAGCCTCTATTTATATACAAAAAGATAATGAAATTATGGTAGAATTCGCTATGCTTATCTTCTAATTCATTCCACATACAACTCTTTACCAAAAAGGTTCTTTCTTTCTATAATTCTTTCCATGCAAGACTTTTTCTATGCAGAACTTCCTTATATGAAGGATCTGTTGGTAAGTAGGATTTGATCAATCTGAACTGGACTTGGATCATATACATAATGGGCCAGATGGGTTTTCTAGCCGGCCGAGAGGTTAATACTAATAACCTTGGATCGCTATTGACTTTCCTTGGGTTTAATCTGGATTGGGCTTTGATAGGCTAGCGGAGAACCAATGAGGTAATTCTTTATTATAGTGACGTGGATGATTCTTATTGGAGGGGGATTTTTTCCTCCACACTTTGCTCCCAATTCCTTCCTAAATTGAACTACGGCTCCTAATTAGAAGGGAATTGAATTTGCACGATTGCCAATTTTGCAAAAGGCGGTTTTGAAATATGACCTTTGACATTTTGACCCAAGAGCTTCTTCAAAGTTTGCTTCTGTCTTCGCTGAGTTCATTGCTTCATCGTAATACCAGGTTAGTTCTTTCTTGCTGATTTTACATTATGAGCACTTCATCCACCCACGACCACATAGAGATTATGGATTTCGAGTCGACACCTTCTTCATCTCCTGTTCTCCTTATAACTCCTCCCTCTAAAACTTTCATCCCTTTAGATACTTTGGGTGATTCGAGTTTGAGGGGGAATGACTCTTTGCATCAAGCTGAGGAATCCATTTATGGATCTGACGAGATTTTTACTCAGGAAGAGAAAGATATGATCTTATCTGTCCATCGCATTAAATTCTCTGTTGATTCTGTAATGGAAGAATTTGAGATTCCTGAAGGTGTGGAGATCTCTAGGTATCTTTCCGATGCTGACTTTAATTCCGGTGAGGGTGCCAGAGAGAATGAATTACTCTTGTCCATTGGGCATCTTCATGCTCTTCGTTTTCCTCTTCATCCCTTTTACCATTTAGTGTTTAATAAATTAGGGATTGCTCATCTTCAAGTAAACCCTAACTTCTTTAGATTAATTTCGGTTCTCTTTATCTACCGTAGATTATAGGGAATCGACCTGAACCTAGTTACACTATCTCTAGGCATCAAGCAGAGTTGGGTCGCTATTTCGTTACTTCGTCTATTCAACAAAGACTATGTACCCACCTTCCCAATTCTGAGAAGAAATGGAAAGAGATGATGATCATTGTCCGAGGGAATTGGTTTGTGCCTCAGTCTGCAACGCTCCCTATTCCTAAAAAATTTGGGATCTTAGGTATAGAAGGGCTTTCTTCTTTTCATCCGAAATGTTCCGGTTGTTTTCCATGTCAGGTATTACTTTTTCGTCGTATTTATGAGTTTCTTGGTATTTTTTCAGCATCATTTCCCTCCTCGGTGGTTAAGAACAGACTTTCCTTCTTGAGGAAGAGGGTGTGGCAAAATCCTCCATCCCTTCCCTTCTCTGATGTCTTTTAAAAAATTGCCTCCGATGCTTCAGAGTTTAACCTCATGGATCTATCCCTTCCCTTCTTTGATGTCTTACCTCTGACCGATGAGGAGAAGAAGAGAACTGAAGCTCTCCTACAAAATGCTAACGAGGAACCCCTGAATGTTATTTGCTCCATGGAGCATGAAAAGGAGGTTGAGGATTCTCCTTTGAAGAAAAAAGCCAAGAAAAATTCTTCTTCAGTTAGCAAATCTGAGGTCATTGACCTGGACAAAGGAAAAAAGAAGAAGGGCGCAGTTGAAGCTGAAGAAGAAGTCAGGGCTTTCATCTTGGCTAACAAAGGAGAAGCCTGGAGGTTAATCTTTTCCAGGGCTGATAAGTCAGTTCTGCACTGAGGTGATTCTGTGGTGACAGATCCCTCAACTGCATTAGCTGTTACTCGGGTAATGTGGCTCCCAAAGGATGAGGAGCTAATAGGAAGTATGGGTTTGGAGCAACTTCTCCCATCTACTCCTGTTCGTGCCATGGGAGGTTTGTCTTATCACTTTGCTTCACTGTTTCTTATCTTGTCATCATATTTTATTAGCCTTTTGATTGATCTGCAGAGTTTGTACCATACCATATCTTTGTGCGCTACTGCTGAGGCTCAATCCCTCTCTATCCGGAAACTAGAGAAGGATCTTTCCACTACATAGAAGAAAATTTATAATGCACTTCTGGATGTCAAAATGTCTTATGACGCCAGAGATGTGTATAAAAATAAACTCGCGGCCTCTAAGGTCAGGATAAAAGAATTGAAGGCCGAGAATCAGCGTTGGAGGGACTCGGTCAATACCTGTACAACTGCTGGGAAGCAGATGCAGGATCGTTACTCTTCTTTGGGGTGTTTATCAAGTGCCAAGGCATTCAGATTTGGCTTTGCACAGGGCTCGGGTGATAAGCTGAAGGACCCAGAAGCATTTGACAAATACATAGAGGTAGCTTTTCCCTATGCCGAAAGTTTAGTAGCTCAGGAAGCTGAGATTCTGTTTGTTGAAATGGTGAAGAGTCATCAGGGAGATCCTCCATTGTCGTGTTCTTCTACTGCTCCAGCTAAAGCTTCAAGCCCGAATGTAGTAGATGCCTTTGATTCTGCTCCTTTTGATCCCAAAAGGAAGTGAATTTATGTAATATTTGTTTGAACTAGTGTACTTTTGTTTTCGAACAATGGTTATTTTGACTTTCTTATTTGATATATCTATTTTGGAGAATTTCTATGTCTTTGAGTATTTCAAAGTTGTATTTTTTCCTGAGCAGTTTTCCATACCTTTGAGAAAAATTCGTTCTCTTTGGGGCCCTTGGACTTGTTATGGTCCGAGGACATAAAAAATGATACGTAACAAGAAAAGAGTTCTTGTGATAACTAGGTCACTAACCGGAGATTGTTATATCACTCGGTGATTTATCTATCAAGGGAACCCTTCTTGTTATGTATTAGCTTAGGATATGAGTATATCAACGCTTTCTTATTCTTGTATTTTTTCGATGTGGGACAAATTGTCTAAGGGATTTAGCCAAGTTGGACCAACTTCATGGCCTAAGAGGGAGATATCTATAAAGAGTACTTGCCCCCATCCAGGACTAGACTCAGTTTAATATTGTCCTTAGCTATAATATGTACCTTAAAGAAAAATATTGATGCCTTCGGACTCTTGTATTCGAAGCACGGAGTTCTTCGGCCGTAGTATATGCCTTAGAGGAACTTATTGGTTCCTTCGAACTTTCGGAATCTGGAGGGTGTAACTCCTCGGTTATGTGCCTTGATACCTTCGGACTCTTGGGGTTCGAAGCATGTAGTTCCTTGGCAATGTGACTTAGAGAAATTTATTGATATCTTCGGACTCTTGGGGCCCGAAGCATGTAGTTCCTCGGCTATGTGCCTTAGAGGAATTTATTGATATTTTCGGACTCTTGGGGCTCGAAGCATGTATTTTATTGATATCTTTGGATTCTTGTGGTCCGAAGTGTAAATTTCCTCGGTAATGATATATGCTTTAGAGGAATTTACTGATGTCTGCAGACTCTAGGGTCTGAAGCATGTATTTTATTGATATCTTCAGATTCTTGTGGTTCGAAGTGTGGATTTCCTCGGCAATGATATATGCCTTAGAGGAATTTATTGATGTCTTCGGACTCTTGGGGTTCGAAGCATGTATTTTATTAATATCTTTGGATTCTTGTGGTCCGAAGTGTGGATTTCCTCGGCAATGAAATATGCTTTAGAGGAATTTATTGATGTTTTCGGACTCTTTGGGTCCGAATCCTTTAAA